ATATATATAGGCCTATATTTAAACAATTAAATAATTTATATAATTTTATATATTTTTAAATAATCAAAAAACAACTATAAAATGAAACAAAATAAAAAATATGTTATATGTACATATGTATACCTACCCATACTATATACATATATATATTTTTTTATAACTATAAAATGTAAATAACAAAATAAGCTTTGGGATTTAAATAACTATAAAATATAAATAACAAAATAAGCTTTGGGATTTAAATAACTATAAAATATAAATAACAAAATAAGCTTTGGGAATATTCTAGCCTAAATGTTTGGTCCATAAATAAAAAATATAGTATGTACTATAAAGTATACCGTTTCCATTATCTCACAGATTGGATCAATACATTACGATGATGATTTTTACTGTAATGTACATTACTTTTTCCAGAAGACATGTTTTGCCAAATCCCTGGAAATACAGCGTCATCCATCCATCCTAACCCAATTAGAGTATATGTGTAAGAGAGTGTATTAAACAGTATATAGTATAGGAAGTGTTTGAAAATTGGTTTAAATTGAACATTGTGACAAAGCACAGCCTGCCCTAAACCTCATCAGGATCCAAGAAAACTATGTACACACTCACACAGACACATACGAGAACACTGCCAGTGTCAAAAAAGCTCAGATTCACTCTCTACACTTTGGTCTTCATTTAAAACTCCTTCAACACTTTAACTTTGTCTGAGCTAATGGAGAGAGTAACAGGGGCCACAGAAGGAGAGAGATAACAGAGAGAGAGTGAGAGAGAAATAGGAATGGGGATGTACTCCGCTCGCTCAAACTCAAGACACCCTTAAGATTCAAGTTATGAATAATTTACAGAGGTCCTTTACGCTCTCCACGTAACCCGAGACTCCTCTAAAGCACAGCAGTGGTGTTTAGGTGTCAAATCTCAGCAACACACGCAACTGAGGGTGAGAACAGTTTCTACTTCAGAATTTCACGTTCAATTCAATGTGTTTTTTTTTTTTATTATTTGCAAAATTTACTAACAATTTAAATCCTACAGCATTTTTTAGGGTAGGTTGATTTCAACAAAAAAACGAAATCAATATCTTTAATAAAAAAAAATTATATATATATATATATATATATATATACACACACACACAAATTCTTTTTTTTTTTAGTTTGTCAAGAGAATGAAAGCAACATTTTTTTAATTTTTCGCATGTGCAAATGTGCTCTAGAACAATGGGGAACCCCTGAAGATTATGTGAGAGTGAAGCAGCAACTGAATCAAACATCTGGAAATAAAGAGCATCAGCAGAGAACAAAAATATAGTAGTAGTCATGTTCACTATTTACTGCTAAATCTAACATGAATTCAAATTAAAACTGATTAATTAGAAGTTGTAGTTCGAACAATGGATTTGTGAAGTTACTACGGTTTTGTGACCATTCATTTCTTCAAAAAAATACACTGTACTATTTTAATAAAAGCTGTGAGTTACATGGAAAATGTAACTCACTGTATGAAAAATGCATCCCTACATGACACAGTAACACTGGTTCAACCAATGGTGTAAGTATGGCAGGCCTATCTGTTTGAGCAACTAACAGCAGTCAGGGGAGTGTTCTAAAACCTGTCTGGTAACAATCATTATTTTAGCAAAAATGTATTAAGTTATTAAAAAAAACATTGTATTACAAAAATATTACTGTAGTTTGAGTTCCGACTTCACAAAGATTTTCACTGCAGTTTTCCTTTTAATTTTAACCAAAACATACAAAAAAAAAACAAAACAATAATAGCCAATCTTTCTGTTCTTTCTGCTGTTTTACAGCTCCTAAGCTGAGAACACTGACTGCCAGTAAAACCAGACCTGACCTATCCGTTTAGCACAGGGACGCTACATTCTGGATTTGTCCCCATAACCTCAGCACTCTTCTGGTTACCATTGCAGGATGAAAGGGGTGATGGGTAGAGAATCATCACACTCTGCTGTAACATTCCATTCCAAGCCAAAGATACATCAACAACACCACACACACACCAGCCCCAGAAATTAACCAGGGCTTTGGGGAAAAAAGACACCAAAATAAAATTAAATTAAATTTATGCATTTAGCAGACGCTTTTATCCAACCCGACTTACAGTGCATTCAGGCTATACATTTTTTACCAGTATGTGTGTTCCCTGGGATTGAACCCACGACCTTTTGCGCTGCTAACGCAATGCTCTACCACTGAGCCAAATTTAAGATAAGCTCAGTTGGCAAAAAAAACAAACAATTTAACTAAACATAACCACAGTTATGATTAAAGTGAAATGTGAAAGTATCGCATTACACTTAGATCTGCTCACGTTGATTTCTTTTACTTAATAATTGAGCATTATAGCCAATCACACCCAGTTCTGTTAAGTGTATGAATGCAGTAGCCAATCAGAGACATGTAGTCTATCGACCGCTTCAGTGATGGGAAACGTTCTTTGCTTGCTTTCTGTAGATAATTCTTTCCTAGTTTAAATAAACTTTTGTTCTTCATGCTACTAAGAAAACCAATATGAAGTCTTGTTTTAGTAACGCAAAAAAAAAAATTCATAAATGTTCTGAATTGGTTTAGTCTGTGTAGCATAATTATTTAATTTTAGAATAATTTGTATATACTTAATGCACACCACCTTGGAGCAGCAATAAATGTCTGTGTAAATAAACATCACGTCAGATCAGATGCAGCTTCTGTTCCACCTCTGCAAGTGTAAAAATGCCATTTGACATTTGTCATTTTAGTGGTAAGT